CTAGATGGCAAGACTACAGCTCATTGCAGTCACCTCCAACAAACTAATTTATTTTATTTACGTGTAGACCCTTGTTAGTAACTTTTTTTAACAAAAAAGAGTTTCCATGATAACCATCATATCACCTAAATTTACTGTAGGTATCCAAGATAAATATTCTGTTATCGAAGCTTGACTCAAACACAAAAAATGATGGTTTATTTTTGTATTTTTTGTTAACTTATTTTTCACACTTAAGCACGATTACTGCTACCAGTAGTATTAATAATTCCTAACCCTAGTGCCAACCACACGTTTTTTTTTGTACTTAACCCAAGGGTATAATATTTATATGGGTAATTATACTATGTTTAATTAGCTCATTGATGCCACTTGTATGTGACCCGCAGGTGTGTCACACGGTCCGTAACTAAACGAACGTGTTAATGTACATTTACCAAAGATAGGTGTTGACATACTTTTCACAACAAAAAACTAATATACTGCCAGAACGACAGTATTAAGTTGAAATCAAACATTTTGTTTTCCATATCTCTGACATCATATCCAAAGATATGTCCCATCAAAGTGGGGCAGCGGTAATTCTAAGGATAGACAAAACTAAAATCCGAGGTTCGATTCCTGTTTGGTGTACACAGCAGATAGCCCAATGTGGCTTTTGTTTAACACAAACAACCCCACACTTTTCAATAAATGTAATTAATAATTATCTTTCAAGTAATATTTGAACAAATCTTCAATAAACAATTTTTATATTTTAAATTACATCACGGACAGTTTATTCAACGTATCTTCATCCATGCTCCCCGCCCCTACTCCCCATTCTCCCCAAAATGCCCCCCCCCCCAGTGGCACAGCGGTATGTCTACGGACTTACAACGCTAGAAACCGGGTTTCGATACCCGTAGTGGGCAGAGCACAGATAGCCCATTGTGTAGCTTTGTGCTTAATTACAAACAAACAAACAAGCAAACAATCCCCCAAAAATAATTATAATAGAACATTCTATAAACAAATTATAAGTTGGGTGTTTATGATTTTTACAATAATTATATGGTTTTTAAAAGGAATTATTAACCCTATTTTATGGTTTATTTTACATGGGAATACTTGTACTTTATTTTATCGTGTATTTCCACGATAAATTTTCCGATTCCTTTAAAATAGCTTCACTCCAAACGTCTTCTGCCTTTTTCAGAAGTGTGTTATCTGTATTTCTTAATGGAATGTTATCAAATTGTGTTACACGGTTCCTATTTGACTTGTATTTTTTTCCACTAAGGTAGAAACAATAGAGCTTTAATACAGTGAAACGTTTCTCAGACTCTATCAAAGTTAAAACAATGACGCTTTCATATTTCTTATTCCAGCATTAATTCAGGCTGCATTATAAGCAATCTTAATATTATCATTATTAAAAAAAAACGAAGAAAGGATTAACAATAAGTAACTTCCGTCGTTTCTTGTTCAATTTTACTATAAAACTGTTTCCAACTCTTTCGAAACGCACCAAACATGCTCGCCCTTTCAGCCGTGGGGACGTTATAATTTGACGATCAATTACACCATTCGTTGGTAAAAGAGTAGCCCAAGAGTTGGTGGTGGGTGGTGATGACTAACTGTCTTCCCTCTAGTCTTACACTGCTAAATTAGGGACGGCTAGCACAGATAGCCCCCGTGTAGCTTTGCGCGAAGTTCAAAACAAACAAACAAATGATGAAAAGTGTCTATGTGTCTTTAAAGTCCATGTCGCTACGTCAAGTCATGCTGTATCTAACGACCGTACATATTGCAACATAGTTTCTATTTCGTTTCAATAGCCCAAAAACACAAAATTCATAAGCACTGCATACGGCGAATTGACCGGTATGTCTTCATATGGAATAGTAAAAAATGTCCGTTTCATTCCTCATTTGAACTGATATGTCGTCTAAACAGTTTGTGAAAACGTGTCGCTTTTTTTCCAGATGGAGATCTTTCTTGCTTATTTTGCGTACTGTTGTCTGAGCACGTGGGCGACTTATTCCACTGCACTTTAGATTCTCACGTATTACAATACATTGCACTTTTATTACCACGGCTGGGGTGCGACTTGTTGCAGGTATCTTTCTTGATGGTCTTGGCACCCCACGTTGATCCATACTCTTTTTTTTTCAGTGTGGTTAATTAAGCTCTTCCGTGAATTGTCCGAAATAACTCAGGCGCCCTCAACGTTTCAAAAATATTTACCTGCGTTAATTAAAATAAATAATTCATATGTTATCATGTATTACAATCAGTGCTCGCTAGATGGCACTGGAAAAGCTACCTGATCTTTGTCATTGGTACATATTTTTTATCTGTATTATGTTTGTAATGACGATTTTTAATCTTTGTTGAATGTTTCTGCCACTTTATTTATTTGACAGATTTTTATTGTTTCCACGGCTTGTCTTTGCAGGTTTACTCACCAGGGTTTTTTTAATAACGTCGAAATAATGAATTATTAATGGCTTATTACGGAATATATTTACTCAGACCTTCCGGATCATGATGACTCTCATATGTTCTTTAATGACATAGAAATAACGAATTATTAATGGCTTCCTACAAATAATTGAATCTATTGAGTTAGGCCTTTTGGTACACGATGAATCTCGTGGCCAACAGAAGCACCATTCAGTAACAATATGATTTTTTTTGCCCCCAAATAAACGTTCTATTGGTGAACTTCCATCTTAACTTGAATATTTGGATGGTTTTTGTTGTTGTTTCTTTTATCTTTATGACATGCCTGTTGGCTTATTTGTTTTTCATCTATCAGCTTTGGAACACGTACAATTTACTCACACAGGTACGTTTGAACTTTGCCCATTCTCATGATAAGGGACTGATCGTCGCTGGAAGCTGTTTTCTAAACAAACATTTTATACCTGTTAAAGAAACATAAAACCAGATTGTTTCAGACATGAAAACCACGAGGAGGTCCACGGATATTTTATACATTCTCACTCTTTGTCACGCGCTTCTTGCCGAACGGCTATTGAGAAACGAAAGTCGAATTAACGGTGAGTACTGTAGTTGTTTTCATTCGTTTCAACATTAGACACGTCAGCTAAGGTGTTGAGCAACAAGCTTGATATAAAGTAATAAAATAGCTGAACTCTTTGTTGTAAGTGTAGTTCTGTTTTCCTGTCGTAATTTTGAAATATCTATAAGTTTGTGTGTGTGTGTGACAATTTTTTGTAAACAGCTTCAGTTTTATATGTTTTAACTGGTGTTGAGGTTGAAGAATTCCAAATAACCGATGGTATGGTTAGGTACAAGGTATACCTGATGATTTAAGGACCTTTGGTGACTTGATGGTTAGCGTTCCGGCTGGGGAGCTGAGATTCCGTCTTTCGTATCCTGTTTCCACCTGGATTAAAATTAAAATAAATTACGCTGTCGCACTTTTCCTGTGCTTGCTTTCTAAGAGTGGGGGTCAAATACCATTATTTTCAACCACTTACCTTATGTTTTACTGTACAACGCTTCTTGTTTCAACCACTTACATTAGGTTTAACTGTACAATGCTTCTTGTTTCAACCACTTACATTAGGTTTAACTGTACAACGCTTCTTGTTTCAACCACTAATATTAGGTTTAACTGTACAACGCCGCTTGTTTCACCCATCAGGGGCTTGGCATAGCCAAGTGGTTAGGGCGCTCGACTCGCAATCTTCGGGTTCGAATCCCCGTCACACTAAACATGCTCGTCCTTTCAGCCGTGGGGGCGTTATAATGTGACAGTCAATCCCACTATTCGTTGGTAAAGAATAGCCCAAGAGTTGGCGGTGGGTGGTGATGACTAGCTGCCTTCCCTCTAGTCTTACACTGCTAAATTAGGGACGGCTAGCACAGATAGCCCTCGTGTAGCTTTGCGCGAAATCCACAACAAGCAAACAAACAATCATCCATCAGCATAACGTTTAATGCTTCAAACCCCTGTTTTAAATTTTGTAACTTTTCAAAGTCAGACAGAAAACCATGAGATATAAACAAACGCAGATTAACTAAATACCGAAGGCTTAGAAAAGGCGTGTCTTGAATCAATTTCCAGGTGACGTAAGCATGTTTGATATATGTGAGGTAGTGGTTTAAGTGTGATTGTGTCACCTGTTTGTGACGTAAGCATGTTTGATATATGTGAGGTAGAGGTGTAAATGTGATTGTGTCACCTGTTTGTAACGCAAGCATGTTTGATATATGTGAGGTAGTGGCGTAAATGTGATTGTGTCACCTGTTTGTAACGCAAGCATGTTTGATATATGTGAG